TATATATATATTTCAGATCCTTACAAGAAGCCCTTTCATTTGATATCTCACACGGTTAGTTATAGGCAAAAATATCGATATATATCGATATATTAATAACTATCGATAATTATCGAATATGTATCGGTAACTATTTGTTGTCGAGTTATAAAATACCAAAATTAAACAAGAAAACGAATTCCTATTATTTAAACGCGAAATAGAAAATTGCAAAATGCCACCGGTAAATATTAATATTAAGGTTCATATTTTAACAGGATCTATGTCTAGGGATACTCTGTCGTTTTTTCAATGTTCTTTAAAAAAAAAAACAAAATAGTCAGTTTTTTGAAACACCTTAATATTGATATATAGATGATCATGGAATTTTTTAAATATTTTTGTGTTAGATATTTTCTAAGAAAAAATAAGTGAACAAAGAAGCCTAGAATTAAAACTTCATTGATTTAGTGTTTAAACGGTTCATGAGCATAGAAGAGACATCTATTTATTGAAGGCGATTCAACCCTGCACTATCCTCTGCTTTATATCCTTACTACTAATATTAATATTTTAATTATTTTTTTATTATTATATAGGTTATATCTCAAGGGCGGTTTCATTTAAATTTCAAGAAAAATTCTTGACAAAAAAACAAGACGAAGAAGAAAAAATGTCATCCAAACTGTGTTGATCAGTCTGTACCTACCATTTTTATATCAAACTTTCTTCTAACCCGTACAATGTTCAAGCTATTTGTTGGGTTGAACGCACTGTTGTACGTATTATGGATCGTATAAAATGTTAAAATGGTTTTAGTCGTTTTGAAATACTCACTCAACAATTCCGGATTTTTACCGACTGCAATAACTTTTGCATTACATTGAACTAATCTGTGAGTAATTTCTTTTCCAATTCCTAAAAAGATTCAACAAAACAGAATTTTAATTTACTTCGTTGTAACAACAAAATTTACCTGAAGTAGCTCCAGTCACTAACGCTTGTTTTCCTGCAAACGAAATGTCCATTTTAATGAAAAAGTTTTGCCAAGTGTTTATTTCTGGAATCATTTCACTATTTATTATCGCTGTTCTTCACTTATCTCAACTTTTATCAATACCAAACAAATAATAAACAATTTTTAACAAGAGTGATGTTTACATTTAAAATACATACGTCTGTCTTATCTTGTTTTAATGTAACACTATTATGGGCTATTTGCTTTTAGAAAAAAATATAATGTGAAATTAGCGTTTACCCACATACGTGTGATTAAACCTTAATAAATAGACTGAAGTTTTAATTGCATATTAAGAAAGAACCCCATGATCCGACAACTTTGTTCGGAACTTCACCTCCTCTGGGAGTGCACAGATCTTTTATAAAAGAATAAATAAACTGAAGCGAGTCCCATTTCAGTTATCACAAAATTATGATAGGTAATGTCCAGTAGTACTGTAAAGGGGCGGCCAGTTCGCCACTGGTTCGAAGCACTAAGGGTTGACAATAGTACAAAGAGCTATTTCCTCATCATCATCATCATCATCCTTAACTATTTGCGAACAGTAATCTAATCTAGGTCTACCTCTACCCCTTTAACTCCCGTTTCTGTCTCTAATATATCTCTGACTAGACCTTCATGCCTGAGGAGGTGTCCTACCAACTGATTTCGCCTATTTTTAATTGACTTCCATAGAGTCCTCTGTTCTCCTATTCTTTCCAGTACCTCTTCATTTCTAACCTTTTCTACC